GGGGTTTGGGCCCGGGGTTTGGGCCCGGGGTTTGGGGCTGGGGTTTGGGGCTGGGGGGGAGCTCGGGGAGGGCGATGGGGAGCCTGATGTGACGAGGTTTCTTCTCTCTGCAGAGTAAGGAAGGGAAGAGCCCTTTGCACATGGCTGCCATCCACGGCCGCTTCACGCGGTCCCAGATCCTCATTCAGAACGGTGAGTTGGCTTCTTCCTCCAGCCCTGGGCTACCTCCTCCAGCCCTGGGCTACCTCCTCCAGCCTTGCCTTGTGTTTCCCAGCACCTGCCTCGTGTGTTTGCTCCTGGGGCTTGAGGAGCTCTGCAATTATCACTCTGATTGAGTTCTGTTGCTCTTGGGGCCGTTGCCGGTGGCTGGGAGGGACCGTGCCCTTTAGGGCAGCGAAGTGCAAACCAGGGGACTGAAATGCCAGCCAGGTCAGAGCTGCTGCAGCCAAAGGGCATTCCTGAAAGGCAATATTCTCCTAGGAGGGCTCCTAGGAGGGCTTTGGGCCTGACAAGGCTCCCGGGGGTTCAGCTGGAGACCCCCAGGGCTGAATGCATCCCCCCCTGGGGCAAGGGGAGAGACCTAATGCCCCAGGTTCTTAGGATACAAGCAGGCTCTCAGCCCAGAGAAGAGTTTACAGGTCTCCTGCTGCACGATGCTGGGAGGACTGGAGTTACTGGCTGTGTCCTGGGGATGGGGACGTGGCTGCCAGAACCAGGATGCAGAGACTCACAGGCAAAAAACCCTGGGCTTTTTTTCCTCTCCAGGCAGTGAGATCGACTGCGCTGACAAATACGGCAATACCCCCCTCCACGTTGCTGCTAGATACGGCCACGAGCTGCTAATTAGTACTTTGATGACGAATGGTGCTGACACTGCAAGGTAGGGATGGGTTCTTTTCCCCCCCTTTGCCCTCCTCTGGGCTGGGGGATGTGGGAATGATCCATCCCGACCCCCTTCCCTCTCCCTGCAGGCGTGGGATCCACGACATGTTCCCTCTGCACTTAGCTGTTCTCTTTGGATTTTCAGACTGTTGTCGTAAGCTACTTTCCTCAGGTGAGTGGCTCTGCCACCCCTCCTGCAGCGGGGACACTCGGGGGGGACCTTCCAGCACCCCCCTAACTCCCCACCCTCCTTGTTCCCCCCCCAGGTCAGTTGTACAGTATCGTCTCCTCGCTGAGCAACGAGCACGTGCTGTCTGCAGGCTTCGATATCAACACGCCTGACAACCTTGGGAGGACTTGCCTCCACGCTGCTGCTTCTGGAGGGTGAGCTCTGGGTGGGGGGGGCTGGTCCCATCTCTTTGTCTACCCCCCAACCCAAAATGTGGGCAGCCCAGTGCAGTCCCGTGGTCAGGACCGGGAGTCACAGAATCACAGAGTGGTTGGAATTGGAAAGGACCTTCAGAGATCATCTCCTCCAGCCCCGTGGCCAGAGCAGGGTCACCCAGAGCAGGGTCACCCATAGCAGGCTGGATTCATCCAAGGGGGGTTTTTGGAATCTCTCCAGAGCAGGAGACCCCCCAACCCTCTCTGGGCAGCCACTTCCAGGGCTCTGCCACCCTCACAGGAAAGAAGTTCCTCCTCGTGTTGAGATGGAACTTCTTATGTGCCAGTTTGTGCCTGGTACCTCTTGTCCTGTCACTGGGCACCACCGGAAAAAGACTGGCCCCATCCTCCTGACCTCCACCCTTGATGAGATCCCCCCTCAAGTCTTCTCTTCTCCAGGCTAAAAAGACCCAAGTCCCTCAGCCTTTCCTCAGCAGAGAGATATTCTAGTCCCCTCATCATCAGCCTCCTTGGCTGGGGGTTTGTCAAGGGCTCGAGAGCAGATGCCTGAAAAGCAGCAGGGATTTAGCTGGTGGTGGAAACCAGCCCTGGAGCTGTCACAGCTCTGGGCACTGGGGACAAACCACTGACAAACCAGGAGCCAGAAATCATAGAATCATAGACTCATAGACTGGTTTGGGTTGGAAGGACCTCAAAGATCATCTAGTTCCAACCCCCCTGCCCTGGGCAGGGACACCTCCCACCAGAGCAGGTTGCTCCAAGCCCCCTCCAACCTTGGCCTTGAACCCCTCCAGGGATGGGGCATCCACAACTTCCCTGGGCAACCTGTTCCAGTGTCTCACCACCCTCAGAGTCAAAAATTTCTTCCTGAGATCTAATCTGAATCTTTTTTTCTTCCAATTTAAAACCGTTTCCCCTTGTCCTATCATTACCCTTCCTGGCAAAGAGTCCCTCCCCAGCTCTTCTATAGGCACCTTCAGGTATTGAAAGGCCGCTATTAGCCTCCTCTTCTCCAGGCTGAACAATCCCAGCTCCCTCAGCCTGTCTCCATAGAAGAGGTGCTCCATCCCTCTGAGCATCTTCGTGACCCTCTACTGCACCTGTTCCAGCCGGTCCATGTCACAGAATCACAAAATCACAGAATCTTCTAGGTTGGAAGGGACCTTCAAGATCATCTTGTCCAACCATCAACCTGACTGACAAAAATAAGCACCCCCACAACAAACAAAAAGCAACTCCATCACTAAACCCTATCTCCCAGCACCACATCAACCCCTCTTTTGAACACCTCCAGGGATGGGGCCTCAACCACCTCCCTGGGCAGCCCATTCCAAGGGCTGAGAACCCTTTCAGGGAAAAATTTTTTCCTAATATCCAGCCTGAACCTCCCCTGGCACAACTTGAGGCCATTTCCTCTCGTCCTGTCGCCTGTGACTTGAGAAAAGAGACCGACCCCCATCTCTCTACCCCCTCCTTTCAGGGAGTTGGAGAGAGCAATAAGGTCTCCCCTCAGCCTCCTCTTCTCCAGGCTGAACACCCCCAGCTCCCTCAGCCTCTCCTCATCAGACTTATTCTCCAGACCCCTCACCAGCTTTGTCACCCTTCTCTGGACCCGCTCCAGCCCCTCAATGTCTTTTTTATGGTAGGGGGCCCAAAACTGGACACAAACATGTCCTTTCTGTGTTGAGGACTCCAAACCTGGACACAAGAGGGAGGCCTATAGAGGGTGGAAGCAGGGAAAGATGGACTGGGTTAGACTACAGAGAAACTGTGCGAGTCACCAGAAACCAGATCAGGCAAGCGAAAGCCCAGGCAGAACTAAATCTAGCCAGGGATGTGAAAAATAAAATAACAGGAAGAACTTCTAGAGATATCTCAGGGATAAGGGTAAGACGAGGGAAGCTGTGGGTCCCCTCTGGAGGGAAGCGGGAGGCCTGGTCACCCAGGATGCAGACAAAGCTGAGCTACTGAATGACTTTTTTGCCTCAGTCTTCACTAGCAGGAGCCCTGGCCACACTGAACGAGTCACGGAGAGCAAGTACAGGGGCTGGGAGAAATCCTACATCTTTTTTTTTGTATAAAATTTGCATAAAATCCAGCGCCTCAGCCACGCCGATGCCGTGTCTCTCTGCCTGAGAGCTCGGCGCGGTGCGGGACGGCACTGGCAGGGGCAGGGAGCAGGAAGGGTGGTTTCAGGGGGGAGCAGGAAGGGTTGTTTTAGGGGGGAGCAGGAAGGGTGGTTTTAGGGGAGAGCAGGGACGAGCTCTGTGTTCATCTCAGCTCCCCGAGACCAACGGTGCAGGTGAGGAGCAGAGCTGTTTTGTCTGCAGTGAGGAGGAGTTCATGTTCCTGCTGCCGTCCCTTTCTGATCCGGGTCTAACTCGTCTCTCTCCCTCCTCTAGGAACGTTGAATGTCTTAATTTGCTGTTGAGCAGCGGTGCTGACTTGAGGAGGAGAGATAAATTCGGGAGGTAGGTGCACCGTGGGCTTTGCAAGGGACTGAGGGTGGTTCCTCCAGCCCTAAACCAGCCAGAGGGCACCGAGCCCGGGTTTGGGTCGGGACATAGACTCATAGAATGGTTTGGGTTGGAAGGGACCTCAAAGATCATCGAGTTCCAACCCCCCTGCCCTGGGCAGGGACACCTCCCACCAGAGCAGGTTGCTCCAAGCCCCATCCAATCTGCCCTTGAACCCCTCCAGGGATGGGGCAGCCACAGCTTCTCTGGGCAACCTGTTCCAGTGTCTCACCACCCTCAGAGTCAAAAATTTCTTTCCGAGATCTAACCTGAATCTTTTTTCTTCCAATTTAAAACCGTTTCCCCTTGTCCTATCATTACCCTTCCCAAGAGCTTTGCTGCATTCGGTGTCTAAAGCTGCTTCCTTCACCCCCTCTTACCTTGAGGGGTCCCGCTCTGGCTCTTCTCACCCAAACCTTGGAGTCAGAGCTGGGGGGTGGCTGTTTGGCTGTTTCCTGGGGTCCTGCCAGGGGGGATTCTCCATCCCTGTGATCAGCAGCACCACTGAGCCCCCCCTCTTTCCCCCTCCCCAGGACTCCACTGCACTACGCGGCTGCCAACGGCAGTTATCAGTGTACGGTGACGCTGGTGACGTCAGGAGCCAGTATTAACGAGGCTGACTGTAAAGGCTGTACCCCCTTACACTATGCTGCTGCTTCGGACACGTACAGGAGGTGAGTGTCCAGCTCCTCGCTGCTGGTGACCATGGCACCCAGCTGGGCTACCGTGCCCTGCTCTTCGCTGAATTTCACTGAATTTCACTGAATTTTCGAGTTGGAAGGGACCATAGAGATCATCTAGTCCAACTCCCCTGCTGAAGCAGGATTGCCCAGAGCTTGTCAGAGCACGTTACTCAGGAGCATCCAGGAGGGGCTTGAAAATCTCCAAGGAAGGAGACTCCACACCCTCCCTGGGCAGCCTCTGCCAGGGCTCTGCCACCTTCACTGTGAAGAAGTTTCTCCTCATATTTGAGTGGAACCTCTTCTGGTCCAACTTGTGCCCGTTGCCCCTCGTCCTCTCACTGGGAACCACTGAAAAGAGTCTGGCTCCCTCCTCCTTCAACCCTCCCTTGAGATACTTGTAGGCGTTGAGAAGGTCTCCCCTCAGCCTTCTTTTCTCCAGACTAAAGAGTCCCAGCTCTCTCAGTCTCTCCTCATCAGGGAGATGCTCCAATCCTTGAATCATCTTCGTTGCCCTTCGCTGGACTCTTTCTAGTAGTTCCCTGTCCCTCTTGAACTGGGGAGCCCAGAACTGGATGCAGGATTCCAGTTGTGGCCTCCCCAGTGCAGAGTAGAGGGGCAGAATGACTTCCCTGGCCACCTCCCTGCAGCTGGGGCTGGGTGGGATGTGCAGAGGGGGTCAGAGGGGGCAGTGGGCAAACTGATGGGGGTCTCTGACCTTTCAGAGCAGAGACTCATTCAGGAAACAGCCATGACACTGACGAGGAGCCCCTGAAGGAGTCCAGGATGAAGGAGGCGTTCTTGTGAGTCCCCGTGTGCTTCACCTGTACTCTGTGTCTGGAGGGGACCAAAGCTGGGGGGGTCCCTGCAAAGCTCTGCCTCTCCAACTTTTCTTTTCTCTCCTTCCCCCCCTTTCTCCTTGCTCTCCCCAGTTGTTTGGAGTTCCTGCTGGATAATGGTGCTGACCCCTCCCTCCGGGACAAGCAGGGATATACCGCTGTCCACTATGCAGCTGCGTACGGCAACAGGCAGAACCTTGAACTGGTGAGTGAGCCCCAGAGACCCCCTCTGCTGCCAGGAGAGGGGGGAGACCCCCCCTAGGGAAGGTGTTGAAGCCCCACGGTGTGGCTACAGGACCATGCCTGCTGTAGGCACTACGGTGTTGGGGTTTGTCCAGGAGGAAGGGGGATTAAAAAGCACGGGGGCTCCTGGGGGAAAGACCTGGGCCTGAGAGAAAGGAATCATAGAATCATTGAGGTTGGAAGAGACCCTTGGGATCATGGAGTCCAACCATCTCCCCTACTCTACAAAGTCCTCCCCTACACCATGTCCCTCAGCACTGCATCTAAACGGCCCCAAAACACAGCCAGGGATGGGGACTCCACCCCCTCCCTGGGCAGCCTCTTCCAACGCCCGACCACTCTTTGGGTGAAAAATTCCTTCCTAATGTTCAATCTAAACCTCCCCTGTTGGAGCTTGAAGCCGTTCCCTCTCCTTCTGTCACTAATGACCTGTGAGAAGAGCCCAGCACCAACCTCTCTCCAGTGTCCTTTCAAGGAGTTGTAGAGAGTGATGAAGTCTCCCCTCAGCCTCCTCTTCCTCACACTAAACAGTCCCAGCTCTTTCAATCACTCTTCATCAGATTTTATTCTCCAGCCCCTTCCCCAGCTCCGTTAAACTGGACACAACACTCGAGCTGTGGCCTCCCCAGTGCTGAGCACAGGGGCACAATCACCTCCCTGTGATTATGGAGATTGGGACATCTGGGTGATTATGGAGGTTGGGACATCTGGGTGTCAGGCTTAAACCCCTGGTGATGGAGTGAGGCTGGGCTTTTAAAGGAAAGCCTGGAGCCCTGTGCCAAGGCACAGAAAACACCTTGTGACTGAGGTGCCCGCCCTGTCAGAGGGTAAACTAAATCCTGTGAGAATTGGGAAGGCTTTTCAGGATAGCAGTTATCCAGCCCAAAGCCAGGATAAGGAAGGTCCTGTCCTGAAGTTCAGATCCCTCCCAAGCAGATGAGCAGGTTTTCTCACCCCTCTGCCTCCTGCTGCTGGGCAGGGTTGTCTGTCAGAGCCTCCCCGAGCCCGGGATCCCTCACGGTGTCATGTTCTTGCTGTTGCAGCTCCTGGAAATGTCTTTTAACTGCCTGGAGGATGTGGAAAGCACCATTCCAGTCAGCCCTTTGCACTTAGCTGTAAGTAGGAGCAGCTCAGCCCCCCGGGGCCTCAGAGGGGACTGGGCTGCGTGTGGGGCTGGCGCTGAGCTCTGGAGAGGTCTGGGTCCTTGTGGCCCTCGGTGCAGAGCTGGGGGGAAAGGTGCCTGTGGCTGGGGAACTGCTTTCCCCACAGGCCAAAGTCCCTTTGATTTGTGTGTTAAACTCCCTGCTCTCTCCAGGGCTTTCTGGTCGCTGCCACCTCTGAGTGTGGGCAGGGGCAGGAGTTGGGCGAGGGCTTTGCCCACCTGGATGGAGGGACCCAGGGGGGCAGGGATTGGTGCCAGGGGTTGTCCACTGGTGGGTGCAGGCTCTAACGTGGGCTGCTTTGTCCCCAGGCCTATAATGGTCACTGTGAAGCCCTAAAGACACTTGCCGAAACCCTCGTGAACCTCGACGTGCGGGACCACAAGGGGCGGACGGCGCTGTACCTCGCCACGGAGAGAGGCTCCACCGAGTGCGTGGAGGTGCTCACCAGCCACGGCGCGTCCGCCCTGGTGAAGGAGAGGAAGAGGAAGTGGACCCCTCTCCATGCTGCAGGTGACCTGGCAGGGCTGGGGACAGTCAGGGACAGTGGGGACCCACGTCCCTTCCAACCGTCGGTGCCACCAAGGATGCCCCGTTACTGGAACAGCCTGCCCAGGGACGTGGTGGAGTCACCATCCCTGGAGGGATTTAAGAAACGTATAGACATGGCTCTTCAGGGCCTGCTCTAGTGCCCAAGGTTATTGGTTTATGGTGAGGTGTTGAGTGTGGGGTTTAGTTGGTGGGTGCGGTGTTTTTGGTGGGCGTTTGGGGGGGCGTGTTTTTGGGGGTTTTTTGTTTGTTTGTTTGTTTTTTCTTTTCTTTTCTCTTTTCTTTTCTCTTCCCTCCTTCTCCCTCCCTCCTTCTCCCTCCCTCCTTCTCCCTCCCTCCTTCTCCCTCCTTCCTTCTCCCTCCTTCCTTCTCCCTCCTTCTCCCTTCTCTTTTCTCTTTTCTTTTTTTTTCTTGTTGGACTCGATGATCTCAGAGGTCCCTTCCAACCACTAACATTCTGTGATTCTGTGAGCCGGCTGCTGTCTGGGGGAGAGGGAAGGGGCCGTGGTCTGGGGTGATGCCGAGGGGCAGGAATGGGGCTGGCACAGCCTGTTGGGATGTGCCAGCAGGAGCTGAGGGTCCTGGTGGCTCCCAGGTGGGAGAAAAGACACCAGCAGCTTCTCCACACACGTGTCTTCAGCTCAGCCTCTGCACGAGCTCATCAATCCTGTAGCCTGGCAACCAGCTAACGAACCTGCTCGGCCACGTGTGACCAACTGCTGGGCACCAGCCCCTTCCTTTGGTCCGTGGGGGTGGCTGGAAGGAGGGGACCCATCTGAACCCCCCTGTGTGACCCCCCTTTTCCTCCCCTGTTGTTTCCAGCTGCCAACGGGAACACTGATTCCCTGCACCTCCTGATCGACAGCGGGGAGCGGGCGGATATCACCGACGTCATGGACATCCACGGCCAGTGAGTCTGGGGGGGATGTTTCCTTGGGGGGGTCCGTGTGGGGCAGGGTCAGGCCCTCGTGGGGACAGGGCAGAGATGTTGAAAGCAGCTGATTCCCAAACCCCCCGGTGCCCTCTCACCCCTGCAGAACCCCCCTGATGCTGGCGATCATGAACGGCCACGTCGACTGTGTCCACCTCCTGCTGGAGAAGGGATCCACGGCCGACGCGGCGGACAAGAGGGGCAGGACCGCGCTGCACCGAGGGGTGAGTGTCTCCTGGGCACTGGGACCAGCCTCTGCCCATCCTCCTGTGTGAATCACAGAACCTTCTAGGTTGGAAGGGACCTTCAAGATCATCTTGTCCAACCCTCAACCTCACTGACAAAAATAGACACCCCCACAACAAACAAGGAGCATCATCACTAAACCAGACCTCCCAGCACCACATCAACCCGGCTTTTGAACACCTCCAGGGATGGGGCCTCAACCCCCTCCCTGGGCAGCCCATTCCAAGGGCTGAGAACCCTTTCAGGGAAAAAATTGTTCCTAATATCCAGCCTGAACCTCCCCTGGGGCAACTTGAGGCCATTTCCTCTCGTCCTGTCGCCTGTGACTTGAGAGAAGAGACCGACCCCCATCTCTCTACCCCCTCCTTTCAGGGAGTTGGAGAGAGCAAGAAGGTCTCCCCTCAGCCTCCTCTTCTCCAGGCTGAACACCCCCAGCTCCCTCAGCCTCTCCTCATCAGACTTATTCTCCAGACCCCTCACCAGCTTTGTCGCCCTTCTCTGGACCCGCTCCAGCCCCTCAATGTCTTTTTTATGGTAGGGGGCCCAAAACTGGACACAGCACTCGAGGTGAGGCCTCACCAGTGCCCAGTACAGGGGGACCATCACCTCTCGAGGATGCTCAGGGAACAAGTGGGTGCTTTTTTTTTTTTTTTTTTTTTTT